GCCAAGATCTTCCTTGTGACTTTGCCAAAACCCACCTGCTCTAACCAAAGCCATAAGGCAATAATCTGCAACGATTCCACAGGATCACGCCAAAGTTCAGTCGCAAGGATAGCATAAAGAGCCCTGTCAATTGAATGGTAAGCATGAAGTGCCTCCAGTCCGACTATAATTGGTTTAGCATCCGTCTACTTGCCAATGGTGCATTCGAGGGCAGTGTGTCTCTCCTTGTCAAGCAAACTGTGTACTCAAAAGTGAGATTGTCTCATTTGTCCATATCTGCAGCATATAAAGTATTATATAAAAATTTACTATAAAATTTTTTTAACATTGATTACGTGATGACATTTACCTGCACTGCTAATGACAATCCATAAGTATCGTACTATGTACGGACCACTTGGGTTTCAAGTATGATCTGATAAAGATGTGTACGGTATCTTCGAAACATCTCCGCCTCCATGGATAGTTATTGAAGGTATTGATATCATCAACGCTCTCCTGATGGAATAGGTTGATCGCAATCTTTTTATGATGATATCGTACCACGTTCTTAAGGATGTAGATCGAACATAGCTTCAATCTGTCTAACATCTGGTCACACTCCCTGATTGTGCCAATCAGTTACGGTAGAAGCACCGTCCCTTGTCCCTAGAAGTATGTGTCGTGTAGCCTATTATTTCTTGAGTATCATCATGAGCTGCTTCATTGCCTATAACATCTGGTCACACTCCCTGATTGTGTCCATCAGTTACGGTAGAAGCACTGTCCCTTGTTCCTAGAAATCTGTGTCGTGCAGCCTATTATTTTTTTGAGTATCGTCACGAGTTGCTTCATTGCCTATAATCTTTAGTCCTATCATCGGGACAAACTCGAACAAGGAGAAGGTAGTGGCTTTGCCTCCGAGGTCAAAGTGAAAGCTACCACCGTCGACTGCCCTGTGCAATAGATACAATAGTGTATTGATGATCTGCCCGGAGTACTGTACCTTCCTTAACTGATATAGGGGTCAGAGGAAGGACTAACGTAAAATATCTACGTGCTGGTAATCCAACAGCTCCAGTACCATAGTGAAACTGTCAAAGCTATTGTTTCAAGTAGTTTTCTCCCCATCCGTCTCAACTCCTCATCCAGATAGTATTCCATCTTGCAAAAATTCAAATGGTAGATCATTGAACAAGAAATAACAGAATAAAACATAATCTTAAAAAATTAAGCGAATCGAATTGCAACTACTATACACAAGACGTAAATTCATTTTACATCGATTCTATTAATAAAATAGCGTTCTCCGAAAAAACCTCCAACAAGCCCTAAAGTCTCTTGCTGCCTCTGCCAAGAAAACGTTTAAGACATTGATCATGAACAGTGATGGGATTGGCCATTAACTGGCTAAATGAATTGCAGACAGAATTTTTTTAAAAAAAGTTATTATAAAATTTTTTAATTAAAATTGAAAGGAAAAAAAGAAACAAAAGGGTTGACTCTTTGATCCAAATGAGGACTGGGCCGAATAGTCCATTTAAAAAAATGGAAAAAATGAAAGGAAAAAAACAAAAAGGAAAAGAGAAAAGGGGAAAAAGGAAAAAAAGAAAAATGGGAAAGAAGGAAAAGACAAAAGACAAAAAGAAACAAAAAAAAGAAAAGAAAAGGGCTCTGAAATGGCTCTCTAAATTTGAAAAGCCAAATTCACTTTTTATAATTAAATGCATTCAAAATATTTTAATTTAATGAAAGAAAATAATATAATAATTCGGAAGGAAGTCAATGAAAGTAAAAGATAGGAAAAACAATAAATATTTTTTAAGAGTTGTAAAATTAAATGTTAAATATAAAGAGCTTATTAATGTATTTAAAAATTTCTACTATCTAAAATTTTTAAGTATTTTCTAAATTGTAGAATATGCTCTTTAAAAATAATGAGATGTCAATAAAATAATTTTGATACTCATACATTTAATTGACTTTATGATCATGTGCATTAATTGATAAGGCTAATTAAATGATGGGGAAAATAGCATTAAGGTCATTTTCCATATCATCACCCATCCTCTCCTATAAATTGGTCAACTTGGAGTGTCATTTAATCATCGAAGTAAACAATGGAGAGAAAGTTCTTCATAACCATCACGTTGATCTTTCTCCTTTTCATTTCCCGTAAGCTCTCTCTCTTTGTATCACGATCCCAATTTCAACTTTTTTATTTTGTATTTTATCTTGAATCGAAAATGACTCTGCATATTTAAGAAAAAGAGACGTGTGACTAAACTCACGAGTTATTACGTGCGCTCGAGTCCAGTCAAATGTACGAAGCACGTATCTATATCTTGTCTGGCTGTGATTTTAAGCTGAATTTGGACTGTTGCTGATCAAAAATTGCACCGTTGGACAATTTTTTAATGAAAATATTCTGACATCTTTGCAGTACAACAACAGGCCATTTACTCTCATTTTTCCAATATTAACCCAGTCATTACACACTCTCAACTGCCAAGATTCTCTCTCCCTTTTCCTTGCACCGGCACCTCACATTTCGGATATTTCTCTCCCTACAAACACCCGACGATGAACTTCCAGATCTAGTCGTAAATATTTTTTTCCTTCAATTAGCGCTTTGGCAGCACAAAGAAGGAATTTTTTCCCCGTCAAATCCTATTGTCTAAGAGTTTTTTTCCCCGTCAAATACGGACTCGTGTTAGGCAGTAGACGACGACGAACCTGCTTGCCGGAATACAGCTTGTGAGCTCACAACATGGACCCATATGTCCCCTCAGTAAGTATTTTCAGTTCCAAATTTTTTGTTGCACCTACAGAACACACAATTTTGAACTGAACCCAACTTATTTAACGAACTCGTCTTCGCCGTTTCTTGTCGCAGACGGGTGGAAACATAAATTCGTCCACCTCCAACCCTTTTCCCAGCATGACCCAACCAGTACCTCCAACGCGCAAGCACGCCCAATGGAATCCACATGAGAACCGGATTTTCATTGCGGCGTGCGAGACGGTGATAGCCGACGGTCACCATAACGGAAAGTGCTTCACGAAACACGGATGGGACCAACTCATCCGTTTGTTCAATTCGAACTCCGGTCACTGTTGGACAAAGCAGCAGCTGAAGAATCATTGGGATGGTCTTCGAACGAAACACAAACGTCTGATGGAGCTTATTCACAGTACTGGAGTGGAGTACATCTCCAAAACGGGATATATTACTGCTTCCGACGACTGGTGGGAGAGAAAGATGAAGGTACACTGCTTAATATGGTCATTTTTTGCATTTTACAAATTGAATTGCTTTCAAACTGGGAAACTCGTGCAATGTCCTGCTATTGATTTTCTATTCACTATATACCCTCCCCAGTCAGCATCTTCATAGTTCTCAGGATCCTGATATTCATTCTTTTTCCATAGACTTGCCACGGGATTTTCTTAAATTTTTAGGTTCAATGATTGGAATTTAATCATGAAAATAGTGCGAAAAAAGTAAAACTGTTAGATCTTGAAGAAGGAGACATGCTATGCTGTCCTTATGCGTGTTTGGCCCTCGTAAATATTGTCGTCTGTGTTCAATATATATCAGTAACCCAGATCCAAGACTTTGGAGTAATTAGGTGAGTTTCACTAGAAATGTTGTGTAATTAGGCTGTGTTTATAGTCAGAAATCCTAAATATATTGGCCCCATACGGGGTAAATAACACATTCAAGAGGGAAAAAAAGAGAATCGATCGCCTCATAAGGTCAGGAAAATAGCCAGTTTTATTCTTAAGATTCCGGCTGTATACACATGGGATGACGTTTCTTTATTATAAATCACCAACTTCTTGGAAAATCTGTCTAGAAGCTTAAATGACCATCTCATCTAAAAACATGAAAAACTATTGATTTGTCTCCTCAGACTTGTAATTTCAATTTCAAGTGACTATTGAATGGCTTTGAGGCTTGGGGCTCTGTTTCTTCCAACACTCAAGGTGACTTACTGACTATTACTTTCGATATGCACAACACAGTTTATTTTTCAAATTTTGACTACACAAGTTCCTATGCTATGTTGAAACCATTGCTGTTTTGAAGCATTCTGATGTTCAACTTCTTCTGCATGTGTAACAGGAAAATAAGGACTACAAAGAATTCAAAGGCAAAGACTGCAGGGAGGTGTACAGCCTCAAGGTGCTATTCGGGGATGCATATGACAACGATAAGTATGCAGTCACACCCTCAACAATGTGCAGGACAGGCTTCTCCATGTTCGAAGATAGTGGACTCGAGGACCTACGCGACAGTCAACCGCTTGACGAGGAAGGCACCGGGTCAAGTGATGAGAGCGAGAATACAGAATTGGCTGGATCCAGTGCGGACATGTCAAGGCCGCAAAGTGGGGATAAACGTAGGTCTTGCGGCAATAACAAAAAAGGTAAGAGAGCAAAAATGTCCGCCTCGGATATATCGGACGCTGTTAACCGTGCTTCCACTGCCAGTGAAAAGGTAGCAGCTACAATCAACGATTTGCTGGGTCCTAATGTTCCAGACGCGCAGACACTCATGAACGAGATGTTGTCGACTGGCCGATTGCACAAGAAAACTGATATGTACTTCTGGACGTTGAGCTTCCTGTCACTGAGGCGTAATAGGGAGATACTTGCAATGCAGGAAGACGCGAACGATAAACTGGACTGGTTCGAGTGCAGCTGGCTGGAGCACAGAAAGGCTCATCCGAAGTGAAATCTGCGGCACGAAAAATTTTCCCCTTACATCAGTTTTATGTAGACATTTTTAATTGTGTGTTGTTTTTTCATTTTCATTTCGGCATGTCTATGTGAACAAAAATGGGACTTTACTACTAAGTGATCTCACGAATCCACAACTGCAATGAAATATTTCATGTCACTTTCAAAAGATTATGTAACTGTTGCCATTGCATGCCAATTACTATACGTGCTTGAACATTAACTCATTCCAAGGGTCCTATTCAAACAATGACGCACAGTTAGTACACGGACACATGTTTATGCTAGACGCCATGCAATGTAATCCCGAACAGTGTTATGCAGAATTCAGGATGTATCCTGCCATGCTGCGTACATTCACTCATATACTCTGTGACGAATATAGACTGCATAGTGGCCAGCAAGTTGATATGTATGAACAAGTTGGAATGTTTTTATGCATATTAGCCCATGGAAAGGGCTACAGACAGGTTCGAACTTTGTTCAATCATTATTTGCAAACTATTGGGCACTATTTCAAAATTGTGCTTGATGCCGCATGCGAATTTGCTATACGCCTCATCAGACCTGATCCAAACTATAATCACGGTGCGGAGCATCACGTACCAAATTTGAACCAGCATCCGCTATTCGAGAATTGCATAGGTGCAATTGACGGAACGCACGTGCAAGCTATCTTGCCGCGGGACGAACGAGTAAATTTCATCGGACGCAAGGGCATTCCAACACAAAATGTTCTGGCAGCATGTGATTTTAATTTATGTTTCACATTTGTGCATGCAGGGTGGACAGGAACAACGCATGATTCACGCATGTTGGCTCGGTCTATACATAGTCCTGAAATTGATTTTCCCCATCCTGCCCCAGGAAAATTTTTATCTTGTCGACTCAGGATTCGCCCATAGACCTGGGTACATGGCTCCATACAAGGGTTCTGATATACTGTATCATTTTCAGCAGTTCTACGACGGTGAGACGGGTCGTAGACGAAACTTTCGCAACGCACGTGAGAGATTTAATTTCAGGCATTCGTCATGCAGAAACGTTATCGAGCGTGCCTTTGGTGTGTGGAAAGTTCGGTGGAAAATACTTGATCGTATGCCCAGTTATAATTTCAAAATGCAAACTGCTGTTGTCCTAGCCACGATGGGTATACACAACTTCCTTCGACGGGCAGGAGTTGTCGACGAAGCGTTCACAAGGGCGGAGATAGATCCGGACGCGGCAGAGGTAGAACTTCAAGATGAGCAGGAGCAAACCGCTGCTGAATTGAATGCTCTAGAAACGCAACGAAATGAATGGAATCGTTTCTGCGACTTTTTGGCTCAAAGTCAGTGAACGTGTATTTATATGTGGTTGAAAAGTAGTTTTGAAAAATAAAATGGTTAAAAAAGTGGTTTGGAAAAATGTGAAAAATAAATTTATGGTGAATTTTGCTCGAATTATGGTGCATTTTGGTATTTAACTTGCTCGAAATATGGTGAATTTTGCATCCACCGTTTGAATTGGCAAAGTACAAAATTATTTATTAGACAATGCATTTTGAAACCACGTTCAAGCATGGCAAGTTACGATAATACAATGACATTAAAGTTAAACAAATTAATGAACAAACGTGTTAAATCGTACACAAATTTTGACAAATTTTTGTGCAATATCTTAAGGATACGATTTAAATCGTGTAAAAAAAAAATTGTGCAATACCCTTAAGAAAAAAGGAAAAAATTGATCTCATGCTTAAAAAAATAATAATAATAAAAAATCAAAAAAAAAAATGAAAAAAAATAATAAAGACAACTTGTGTCTCCGTGACAAATATTGTCATGGAGACACAAGTCTCCGTGACACGGAGGCAATTGC